ACGGCTAAACGTGAATGTTGGGCATCTTATGTCTCGACAATTACGTCCGAAACCCCTCTGGCCCAGATCTGGAAGCGTATCCGCAAGATAGCGGGTAAGTTCGTTCCCGATGTTTCACCGGTCCTTCACCTCCATGATACTCTTGTGGCGGACCCGTTGCAGGTCGCTTCCGAACTGGGTTCCCACTTTTCTTCTGTTAGCTCTGGTCTTCATCTTCCCCAATCTTTCCTTCTTCGTAAACCTGTCCTTGAGTCTCGTCCTTTAGATTTCTGCACTCATCTTCAGCTTCCCTATAATGATCCCTTCTCTCTCTCTGAACTTCGTTCTGCCCTGGCCCTCTGCGGTTCTACGGCGGCGGGCTCCGATGGTATTCATTATGAGATGCTTCGCCATCTCCCTCCGAGCACGTCTCAGTATTTACTGAGTCTGTATAATCGGATCTGGGAGTCGTCGTCAGTCCCTGAGGACTGGCTCGATGCCGTTGTCCTCCCTGTTCGCAAACCGGGGTCTCTGGGTACTTCCCCTAAGGACTTTCGCCCTATTGCTCTCACAAGTTGTGTCTGCAAACTCTTTGAACGTATGGTTAACGTTCGTCTGATGTGGTTCCTGGAACACCATCACCTCCTCTCCCCTTCTCAATTTGGTTTCCGCAAGTGCCGCAGCACGACAGATGTCCTGGTGAACTTGGAGGTCTATATTCGTACTGCTTTTGCTGCGAAGACCTCCGTTGTTGCCGTCCTTTTTGACCTAGAAAAGGCTTACGACACCACTTGGCGTTATCATATCCTATCTCAACTTCATTCTTTTGGCCTTCGTGGTCATCTCCCTCTCTTTCTCCGCAGCTTCCTCTCTCGTCGTTCCTTTCGGGTGCGCCTTGGTACCGCTCTCTCTCCCTCTTTTCAGCAATACGAAGGTGTGCCCCAGGGTAGTGTTCTGAGCACTACTCTTTTTCTGGTTGCCCTCAATGGTCTTCTTTCCTCTCTTCCTTCTGGTGTCTTCTCCGCTCTCTATGTCGATGATCTTACCCTTTGTTGTCAGGGTGATGATTCGCCTCTCCTTCAACGCCGGCTTCAACTTGCAATTGATGCCGTGTCGTCTTGGGCCACAGGTCATGGCTTCAAGTTCTCTACTTCTAAGACTTGTGCCATGACTTTTACGCGGAAACGGGTTGTTCTTCGTCCCTCTTTGTCGCTTTATGGTCATCCCCTTGAATACAAAGATTCCGCGAAGCTTTTGGGGTTATTCCTTGACACTCGTTTGTCTTGGTCTCCCCATATCTCTTACCTCCGTGTTGAGTGCTCTAAGGCCCTTACCCTCCTTCGGGTCTTGTCCCATACTTCTTGGGGGGCAGATAGGCGCACTCTCCTTGCTTTACATTCCTCTCTCGTCCTGTCTAAGCTCGATTATGGTTGCCCTGCTTACTCGTCTGCTTCTCCTTCTACTCTTCGCCGTCTTGATGCTTTGCACCATACTGGGTTGCGCCTCAGTTCTGGTGCCTTTCGTTCGACTCCCGTCCTTAGCTTGTATGTTGACACTGGCTTCCTGTCTCTCCAGGACCGCCGTGATCGCTACTGTCTTCGCTATCTTGCGCGGTCCTTGCAACATCCTTCCTCTCGCCTCTGTCGTGCTTTAACTTTTACCCCTCCTGCGGTTCCTGTTCCTCTTCGCCACCTCCCTCTTTCTGTCCGGTTATCTCGCCTACAGGATTCTCTTTCCGTTCGTATTTCTGATGTTTCTCCTCGTGTTGTTCCTTCTTTGCCCCCGTGGAGGGTCCCTCTTCCGCGGTTTTGTACATCCTTGACTCGTATCACTAAAGCTTTTACCCCTCCTACGGTTCTAAAACGCCTTTTCCTCGAGCACTTTTCTTCTCACTCCCGCTCCGTTTCTGTCTTCACCGATGGGTCTAAGTCAGCGGACGGTGTTGGCTACTCTGTTGTTTTTCCTGATCGCACTTATATGTGTCGCTTGCCTCCGGAGACTAGCATCTTTACAGCGGAACTTTATGCTATTCTCTATGCTCTTCGTCTCCTGCTTTTTCGTTGTCAGTCTTCCTTTGTGGTTGTTGTTGACTCTCGTAGTGCCCTCATGGCTCTCGGGTGCTTTAATCCAGTTCATCCAGTAGTTGTCGAGATCCAGCGTTGGCTGTTTCTCGTTCACAGTAAATTTAAGTCGGTTGAGTTTTGTTGGGTTCCCAGCCATATTGGCGTCTTTAAATGAGCGTGCGGATGCTGCCGCTAAGGAAGCTGTCCGCTCTTGTCCCATCTCTCGTAAAGGCATTCCGTATTCCGACTTTTACCCGGTTATCCATTCCTCAGTCCTTACCCATTGGCAGGCTTCTTGGTTGTCTGTTACTGGTAACAAGCTACGTACTCTTAAATGTTGTGTTTCCTCGTGGCCGTCCTCCTTCCACCGTAACCGGCGGTGGGAAACAGCTCTGGCGAGGTTGCGTATTGGCCATACTCGCTTAACCCATGGTCACTTGATGGAGCGCCGCCCTGCTCCTTATTGTCCTAGTTGCATTGTCCCTCTTACGGTCGTGCATGTCCTTCTTGAATGTCCTGACTTCCAGGACGAGCGTGTCTCTTGCTTTCCGACCGCCCCTCGCGGTCACCTATCCCTCGATAGAATTCTTGGTGACTCGGATACTTTTGATATCGTTCGCCTTATGCGTTTTTGTTCTCGTATTGGCATCCTTGGTGATATTTAGCGCCCTCTGATTATTTTGCGTATTTGATGGTGCTACATAGCCTTCCCGGTTTGGTGCCTTCTTTTGATAATTACTTACTTACTTTGGTACATGCACCAGGGCTCCAAGACCTACTCTCATATCCTTGGAATCGGGATCAAATACGTGTTTTCTCCACAAGATAAGGGTAGCTTAAGGATTAGAGATCAAGCCAAAACCAGGAAAAAACTGTAAACATTCATGAGCCACCCAAACCTCAACCCAGGAGGTAAAAGAGAACAGGGTGGAGACAAGGTGTTACTGAGGGTCCACACCAGCAAAGGGTGTTGTGGACCTTTTACTACATTTAGTAATTGGTTTCAGGGAGGAGCCCCTCTCAGTAGATCCCAGGGATAACTCCTAATGGTATCTTAGCAAAGGAGGCTTGCATTCTAAAAATGACAAAGCAGTAAACAGAAAAATATAGCCAGGGCTTACCATGGGAAAAAATGGCAGAAGAGGATCCAGGGAAGAGTGGCATTCACAGCATTCGAAAAGCTAAAGCTCAATACTGTACAAGCATGGCCGAGGGACCCCAAGCAGAGCCAGGTCAATACCAAGAAGGACCATCCAGATCAAGCCTTGAGCCCAGCAGCGGCCAGAAAACACTCAACAAGGGAGCGAGAACAAATCAATAGCCACCAGACTTGAGGATTCCATAGATACCCCTGAGCATAAAGTCCACAACCAAACTGATGCTGTTACAGTACTACAACTAGGCCACTGAAAGAGCCACCAAGAAATCCAAGACAAACTACTCCAGCTCACACCAGATATGCTGTTCTAGAATAAATGGGCACTATGTCTAGGAAATTCTTGGCAACAATCACGTAACTGAAATATTTTGACACTTTGACCTGAAGCAGTGGAGCATGTGGTCTGGAAACATCAAGAAAGGAGGCAAGGGAAAGACGAAGTACATCAACACCTGGGCACATTACCCAGGAACAGCCAGGGTCAATGCCTAGAAACAGATGGGCACACAACTCGGACAGGTAAACAGAGGTGACACGGCTCCGAGTTGGGTACACAGCCCAGACAGAGGCACACAAATGGCCTAGACAGAGGAGAGTTTACAGCCTGGACAGAGTTGAGTATACAGCCCAAAACGACAACTGAGCACATAGCCTTGAACAGCTGATCACACAGTCCAGAAATTGCCAGGGCCACAACTCCAATGCCCAGGACTGGAATTCAATTAAGATTCAAAAGTTGCACAGCACACACTGGGTAAACTATCAAAAATTGGACTTGCTTGTGATAGTGAGGTGCACACACCTGCAGTGAAAACCTGTTGCTAAAATAGCACACACTTCCAGAGGAAGTGGCACTCCAAGTAGGCCCAAGGGAGACAAATGCTCACAGTAAGCACTAGACCACATAGGAAAGCCACCCAATGTCCAACACAGGGAATGAAGATGAAAGAGTAGGGGTGTAAATTCAGCTGGGTGAACTGCATCTGCAGATGGCACCTAGTATAAGGTAAAGCCCAGCACAACCTGTGAACTGTAGCACAATAAGGAGACACAGGGCACTAAATGTCTAAGACAGAGCCCAACAGATGTCCCTTGACATCTGCTGGGATCTGATTACTACAGTATTGACAGGAATTAACTGTACATACTGTAGTATAGAGAAGCACAGTCAGGCAATGCAGGTAAACCCCATCTTCACTGGTGAGCTGTGATTTCCAACAGCTGACCATGGGAAAGAAAATGGGGCATGATTCCAAAAGAGAGGGGAACTTGATCAAACCTGGAAAATGGGCCAAAGAAAACCCCTGCTGGGGCAAGTAGATAGGCAAAAACCAGGACAGACACACACACACACATACAACCTCCCTACCCCAGAGGCTGAGAGGTAGAAGGGAATCAGGTGTTAGACATGGAAGCCACCAATCTACTACACCTTCTCAAAAGCTAACTTTCCATGACTACATTATAAAAACAAGAGGCTGGTGTCAAAACGCCAAAGGGAACAGCTGACTGCCGTAGCCAGTAGCTTGCCCAGTGCAAAATTCTGTGGGCACACGAGCTGAAGATTCAAACCGGAAACCTGGAATTTAAATAACATCAAAATCCAATCTAAAGAGGATAGCCAATACAGCTACTCTGAAAGTGTTGAAACAACAGTTGCTTGTACTTATATTTTCCGATAGATTTAATCTCTGGTTTGGGTTAATCCCCTGATTCTCAAGTTCCCAAGCCTTGAAGAGAGCACCAGATTTGGGTCCTGGCTTCTAGTAGGTTCATGTGGGTCTCAAAGCAACCAGTTCTCTCGAATAATACTCTGTATTTTGATGTCAAAATTATGTCCCCAATGGACAAAATATGATGTACTATAAATCATAGTGCTCACAAACAACCACATTTTCTATGCATTGGTATATATACAAATAAAATACCAAGTGAAATAAAAATAAGGAACCGTTTCCTTTGGAAAAAAACCCTACAAACATTAAATACACTGCAGGTATGCAGTATTCAATAGTCAATACACAAAAGACAGTATAAATCAGAGTACAACATGAAAAAATATACTATAAGCAATACAGGTTACTATAGTATGCTGTACCATAGATCTTATCCTGTACCCACGTTTACATAAGTCAACACACACATTCTGTTTACATTTAAAATCAAAATTGGACGAAAATCATAAGCCGCCTAAATGGAATATAAATCCCTAAACATATTACAGTAGGTCCTTTCACTCTAATGAACTGGACAATAAAGAATTCCTGAACAGTCCAAACAGTTTGTTCTATGCAAGTTGTTCAGTGGAACAAACAAATGTTCGTTTCAGTGATGATTGTTCACCTAAACCTAGCCATCAAGATATTGATGTGCAACCAGCCTCCTAAACTGTCAGTAATTGTAAACTGTTGTAGGGCATAAAATCTTTTAAGACTTGCATTTCTGCCTCTCCACATGTCCCTGACCGTAAATTTTCTTGGCTCACCGGGACCCTGCTAGCAACCCGTAAAATGCTTACAATCATTTTGCCTTTTTTTATTGGGTTATTAAAAAAAAAAAATCCAAGTTGTTTGTTGGGTTATAATTACAAGTTTGATGTCAAAATGTTGGCAAATGAATTCTCTAGAGTACAGATACAAAAAACCATGAATTTGAGAAATTGTGTGTGACAACAATTAATATATGAAAGTATGTCTCATGAACAAGCAGGAAGCACTGGTCGATCCACCCGTGCCCTATAGATGCTCTGTCCACACAATAATAATGATTTTTTTGTAAGTTTTTGTACTGACTGATGTAAACAGAATAGCTCAGGAACTGAAAATTAACGATTTAGCAATTGGATGATGAATTTTAGTGACATTGGAATGTTTACTGTTGGAGTACAGTACGTGTTTTAACATCATCAGAACACGAAAGTGTTTTTAATATAACATATTTTGCAAATTATATTATCAAATAAACGTATTAAAAAATTTAGATATTTAGTGTACCTTCACTTCTCCATACATTTTCCATCCAAATTATCATTCTATAAGGAAAAACTTATTTTTTTAATTTTTGGATTTTACTATTTTATACTATCCAATTTTTTGGAATTAAAACATTCACTGCCTGATGATGACGTCGATGTCATAAAACCAGAATACAATGTATGCCCATTGATGTAAACAGCGTCAATAATTTTTACAAATTTGTAGAAATTCCATTTATTGTCTGTATACTATGGGACTTGTTTTAAAATGTGCACCAACTTCTGCACATTCTCTGTATAACCCATGTGGCATCCTGACCACTCCCTGTGGACACCCACCCACATTGGAGGCTCACAGTTCTCGTGATCTCGCTTATGACAGCTGCGGCCTCCCCTAGAGTCGAAAAGTTTCCCTATACTGGTTATTTTATCTCAGGAATTTGTTGGTACCAGCTTTATAAACACTGCAAATTGAATTCTAGATAGGATCAACAGCAGAGACAATTCATGATGAAAGCATTGAAAGAAACACGTACAAGGGAAAAGTTATTGGGTTTTTGTTGAAAGTATAGAAAAGTGAGACATATGTTCTTATATGCACATATTCCTTTAGAGCATTCTATTGCGAACAATTTGATGCCAAATTGAATGACGTAGCACAAAAATTGAGGTCAGAAAGCTAAAAGAGTATAAACATTTGTTGGTGGTGGTGAGTTAACGCACACTGCTCGGCGGGTCGCCTGCTGGGGCAGCGAAAGTGTTAACAGTACTGTATTTGCATCTGGGCAGACATTAATGTATTGCCCTAGCCACTCATTAGGGGTTAAAAAAATGTAATTAAAAATGCTGCAATGCATATAAAGGTTTGGTAACTTAATAAAAATAACTTTCTCAACAAGTGATAAGTGAGGGAGGGAGGGAGGAATAATGTGAAGGACGGAGCAAGCATGGCAGTGCTCCCTCACCCACCTCACATGGCGAGTATGGAGTGAGGCAGCTACATCTACTTATGTGCTAATTAAAATTTCTGCTCGATGGAAAAATATTCCCACTTTTCTTTACCATCTTCAGCACTATGGTTGCTATTGTGAGACATCTTTTTAATAAAAATAGAAAGTACTGTATATTTTACAGTATATATAATATAATTGTATAAGTACATTTTATGTGATAACAATAATATTTACTATCTGGTTATTGAAGGCATAATACAACTGCAGCTTATCATTGTTTTAGTAATTATGAGTGTAAGCTCTACATCCATAGTGAGCTATTATATCCATATTAGCATCATTGGTATAAAATTCAGACAAAGATAGTTAAAATCAATATGATAACCACATTACCCAGTGAATGGGAAGAGGTTTTCCAGGGGATACAATGATATCCTTTATGAAATGAATAGACCTTGCTTCAAATTGTTTGTTACAGCAAGTTCATACAGTATCTCCAATAATGTATACTGCATTGCAAAATTTTGTTTGTGAAAGATAATTAGTACTATAATTGAATGTAATGAAATGCTCTTCCTGGAGGAGTCTTGGTGACTCCCTGAAGCTATCTTGCTGAGATTTCTCCATGCTAATAGTCACATCAATCGTGTTAGTTTTGCTTTGCCTACCAGGGACCAGAGCCAGAACCTGGCCCGTCACAGAGGTGCAAAGAGCGAATAACAATTCATCATCCCACCAGAAAGCCACTGATGCTTTACAAACAACTTGAGGATTCACAGAAAACAAAACCTCAAATCCGACAAACAACTGTAAATGATTCACACAGAACAAGAAAGTCAGTGAAATTACCTTGAAAGTCTTTAGTACCGATCACCTCCACCAGGCAGCATGGCCCCAGGTCGCGGTTTGCTCCCCCGACCAGAGAGTTCTAGAGCTGACGAACTGTCAAATCTGGCAGAAAGGAGGAAGTCAAGTAGCCAATAGGGCTCCTTAGCATTTCATTACATTCAATGTTGGGTTTCTGGGGAAGACCCTGGTTCCCTGAAACTAGCTACTGTAACCACAGAGAACAAAAGTGGCACTTACCAAGGAGAAGCAAAGGCAGAAGACACTAGAACAAAGAAGATAATCCAGGCCAGAAGATACAGTTCAAAGCAACACACGACTGACTGTGACCAAGAAGACTGACTAAATACCATCACCAGAACCCTGTTAGAACACTAAAACCTCTGAGCCGAAAGATCATCAGCCTAGGACATACTGGGGCCAGATTTACGAAGCAGGTACGCAAGTACTTAGGAACGTTTTTGTTCTTCCCATCTTCGTGGCGGCTACTCCCGACATAGCCGCCACGAAGGAGTAGGAGTAGACAGAGCACATTGCCTGCAGGAAGTTGAATCATCCTCAGGACATGCCACACAGCCAAGAACTCACATACCATACCAGAACCCCATCAAGCAGGTATGTTATGTGCTCAAACATACGGACCTGATCACTATACCTGGTTTGCCTGGCGAGTGCTGGTTACGAAGCCCCAAACCAGAACCAAGGTATCCGTGAATGCATTGAGCAACAAGGGGGGATTTCACCACAGAACTGAACCCCAAAAAGCCTAAAGTGGAAGCTGGCAAAGCAAGAGCTGATGAAGGGCGGCACAAAGTGTGAACTGGAAAAATTGGTCCAATGCCTGGAGCATTGTACCAGACCCTGCCCAGCAGGAAGAAAGCCACAGGGAAAGTTTAGGCTCTAGAACAACCACTTGGCCAACCTACAAGTCACTGGGGCCTATCTAACACCTGACAGCAGTGAAGCTGCAGGCATAGCATAACTGATGGAGGCAGGGAAAGAGAAGGGAACTAAGTCCCAATCAAGGCCCAACCAAGTTCATACCTGGGATGGCACTAACTGGGATTTCCACCAGTTTTTACCAGGAACTAGAACCCATCAAGATGGGAAAAACAAACCCCTGGCCAGCTGATATGTGGACTAGCTAGGGCCCTAAACCAGCCAGTCATCAAAGTGAGCCAACACACACATCCCTAAATGTCATAGCTGGAACACAATGACCCGTGCTAACGTGGTAAACACATGGGAAGCGGATGGGGGGAGGCAGATTCGAAGGGAAGAACCCTGAAGTGGCGAGCTTGATACTTCATAACAAAACCTAGCTAGTTTCTGAACTTGTGAAGAATAGGGACATGCCTATAATCATCCTTGAAGTCCAGGGATGCTATCTAAGCTCCAGCCTGTAGTAGCAGATGAACTTGGGCCAAAGTGGTCATGCAGAAAGTATGACAGGCAGTGAAGCCATTCAATCCAAAAAGATCAAAGATGTACAACAGTAGATCTGCTTAATCCTGCTTCAGGACCAGTAAGAAATGGGACACCAACTGAAAGGACAAAGTCCCCACGGCCACACCTGGGTCCAAGCAACCCTTAACGACCTGATGCAGTGCTGCATAACACTCCTGACCCATATGGCCAGATCCCCAAGAATAGGCGAGGGACCGTCCAACTCCACCATAGACCAAGGAAAACAACTTGAAAAACCCAAGAATCAAGGGACCAGGAGCCAGCAAATGGGCTTGGTGCCTCCCCACGTCAACATCAAAGGGCAAATCCCTAAAGGGCTCATGCGTACCAAGAGCAAAGCCATCCTTCTGTGATGCAAAGTTACGATGCCGAACAGAGGAGAATCTTGCATCACAAAAGTGCAATGGTCTGAGAATCAGACCCACCTAAAGACCTACTTGACCAACAGCAGACGAGCTCTCCATCTTACCAGGGTTGCTTCTGAGTGAGGAAAGAACTCCCAAGAAAACAACAAATGATCAAGGAGGTGCAAGAGCTGCAGCAGATCAAATTTTTGCGATGACATCCTCAGGGAAGAGGAGAGGTGAGAAGGGAGGATGCAGACAAAAGGGTAAGAGACCAAGCCGAAACTAACGAATGGGCCAACATGGCTTGTCGACATATGAGATGGGCCGAATACAATACCTCCACAGCCTCCTGAAGGAGAAGGGTGTGCATCTTGGATTAGCTGCCAAGGCTGGAACCACAGGCCTAAAGGCCTCCACACCTGGAGCAGAACCTAACAACACCATGTTCTCACAGAGTTGTTCCAAATCCCTCTATGAAGTCCTAAACATGCAAGACCTAAGTATAAATGTGCCCTGTGGTTCTCTGCATTAAGGGTTCCAAACAGTGCAGGCTGTGGAGTGGAGTGGAGACTGACAGCTGGGTGGACAGTGCTTCGGATTCGTAGTCCTGAGGTTCCGGGTTCGATCCCCGGTGGAGGCGGAGACAAATGGGCAAAATATTTCTTTCACCCTGATGCCCCTGTTACCTAGCAGTAAATAGGTACCTAGGAGTTAGACAGCTGCTATGCGCTGCTTCCTGGGGGAGGAGGCCTGGTCGAGGACCAGGCCGCGGGGACACTAAGCCCCGAAATCATCTCAAGATAACCTCAAGGCAGCTGCACATGTAGAGCTGGCACTTGCCCATATCCTCGGGAAGTGCCGGAGCAAACAGGCAGCTGTGCTTGAGAGGAGTTTAAGAAGCACCGCCCAGGAACACTTTGAAGACAGAACTTGCCTCCTGCTAATCAAGCGCTCAGGTCTGACAGACCTCTAACACCTACCAAGCCTTCAAGGAAGAGAGGGTGTGGTCAGTCAGAAAGGATGAATCCAAGACTTCATACTGCATCCAATAAGCCAAGACAGACAATACTTAAAATGACCAAGTCCATCAGGGGAGAGAGAGAGAGAAAAAAAGAGGTTCAAGTTCTGCAGGGAGGTACTGAAACAAGTTCATGCGAACTACCAAAGATGTAACACAGAAAAATAGAAACCTCCAGAAGAAAGAAAACTGAGGCACCAAATGAGATCTAGAAATGAAAAGGGGAAGCAGCCGAGCAATCATACTCATACACAGATGAAGGATAAGAAAGATTATCCCCACGAAGCACAAAACCCTCCACAGTGGAGAACTATGTACACAAATGGTTGACGGGCACCAATGGGCCATCCTTGGGCTCTCCCCCTCAGTCCCAGCAGTCTGCCACAAAGGCTCCAGGGCAGAGCCAAAGTCCTCACCTAATGCCTACAAAGGAAAGTGTCCTTCCAAAGAGAAGAGGATGAAACCACCCCAAAGAAGTCTGAACTACACCCTGAGCTGAACTCTGACTCCATAACTCTCAGATATTTCAGAGCTGGAACTACACCTGCAGGGAAAAGAACAAGATGCACAGACTTAGTACAGATGGAGGTCAACACCTCCAATGCCACGCCTCTAAACACCATAAGGGGCCAATGCTGGGGCATCCAGATAAAATATATCACAAATGCATAATCCGAGCAAACACAGCTTGCAAAGTGGCAGATGCCTGTAAGGGCAGTGACCCAGAGAGAACACACCAGGCAGAAGGAATGATCACCCTTCAAGTTCGCACTCGGCTAAGCATGGGCTTGATGGGACGATCTATAATAGACCATGCCCGAGATTCACAAGGGAATTGCCAGGGCCTGAAGACAGTTAACCAAGCAGAAGCCTCAGGCACTGTGACTGCTTGCCAGAAGAACACACATTAAATGCAGCCAAAACAGGCAGGCCACAAATGGCAACTGCAGCATGCCACATTGAAAACACATAAACCCCAGTATGCCCAACACAACCAAAAGAATGTCCCATCCAAGGGTCCAAACAGAGGAATCAAAGATTCGTAATTACCCCTAGGTGGGGATTCCTTCCCCTACGCAAGGAATCTCCACCCCGGCAGCCTGGCCTCTCTGGAGTGAACTTCCAAACACACAAGAAAAAATAACACTGCAAGGGCAGTTAGTGGACACCCAGGGAAGAAAACCCTCAGCACATGTAACCTAAAATGGAATGAAAACCAAACTCTCACAACAAGCCAGACAGAAAATATGCACGAGAAGGTAACACTAAAATTAGGAACTCAAAAACAAGCAAATGGTTCCCCGCAGAATGAACAAACTCCACATAAGGATGGCATGGAGCTGGAAATGGCAGGGCTTGTCCATGATTTGTGGACTTGAGCACTACAGGTGGAACTTTCCACTTTAACATTAGCAATAGAACTGGGTAATGAGGGGAAACTAGCTGCAGGCTGGAACCAGACTGCCTGGTGGTTGTGATCTGTACCAAAGAAGTTTTGAGCTAATTTTAGTAAATTCCTTGCTCTATGTGAATAATTTGCAGTGTTATCAGGTAGTTTCATGGCTTCGTTTTTTTGTGAACCCTCCAGTTGCCTGTAAGTTTCACTGCCTTTCTGGAGGCTGGACTGGTGAGGTGAAAGATTGTCACCCACTTCCTGCACCTCTGTGAGGGACACTAGGTTCTGTTTCTATCTCTGGTAGGTCAAACACAACTTCTGCAATTTATATGACTTTTAGCATGGATAAATCTCAGCAAGATAGATTCAGAAAGCCACCATGGGGAGCCACCAAGAATAATGATTTAAGTGCAGTTACCAACTAGATTCTGCTCATTAAACAAAGCCAAACAACAGGTTCTCAGGAGCTTCTAATGGATTGTAACTTTTGAAGTCCCAGTTTTGCTGCTGCTATCTTTGCTGTTCTATAATTTTTCGCTCTACCGAAAAGAGGTGGTAAATCGTCAATCTGTTTGGATGAAATAATACAAACATTACATAAAGACAACAAAATGAATGCTTGCATTTCTAGTCAACTGGAAGACTGCTTTTGGCTGGTAATTAAGAAGTAAACCAATAACAAATAAATAATATGAAATTAGAGCAAGGATATAAATGTAAGTTGCTTAAATGTTATTATAGAGAAAGCAATTACCATAATATACATAATAATCACAAGAAAACATCAGGCCAGGAAGAGTATTTAGCACTGTATCAAGAATATTAAACAGTTCCTACATTTAAGCATTTAGTATGCGAATGCAAGAATAAATGGACATAGATAAGCAATGTCAACGGTATCACATACATGGAGGATTTTATCAAGGGACATACGAGTCGAAGAAATATTTTGAAAGCAAGATTTATGATTATCCTGAAAATTTAGACATTTCATGAGGTGACTGTTGTTGGACAACGTAGTTATAACACAAAGAAGCAGATCTTCATTTATTGGGTGCCTAGAAGTTAACTCTGTGTGGTCAATATGCAACCTAGCCAAAGATGTTTCACAATTCTTTGTATGGTGGCAGGAAAAAGGCCACGAGGATTGATCACATTTATTAGAATGCAATTTGCTATCCATAACAACCAGCAGTGAGTGTAATGAAATGTGTCTTCCTGGAAGAGCCCCAGTACTCCCTGAAGCCAACTCTTTGTGACAGTTTTCCATACACATCACAACATCACATCAGTCCTAGGAGTTGGCCTATTGGCCTACCGAGGACCTAGAATCAGAACCTGGCCCCCAAAGAGGCAAAGAGAGCAGGGGATTGTTACAATCACCTCTCACACCCTGGAATCAGAATGATAAACTGATAATCATAAATGCCTACAGCCCACCAGCAAGCAACACCTCATAATGATCACGAGAGAGATTATAGTAAAAGCAGAAAAAGATAAATCACGATTGTTGGTACTGGAGGCTTCAACTTGAAAGCAATAGACTGAGAGGCCTATGAAGCAAGAACAGAGGATTTGGACAGGCAAATTTGTAAATCTCATTCTGGAGACATTCATGTATTAACATGTCTAGCAGGCCATAAAAATGAGGGAAGTGTATGTTCTGTCAATACTGGATCTAATATTCACCATAAAAGAAGAAGATATTTGACATCCAGTACCTTCCTTCCTTAGGAAAGAGTAATCATGTCCTGTTTGAAGTTAAATATGCTTTGCAATATAATCTAGAAGAGAATGGGGACATTGAAACAGTTGATAAACTCGATATCAAGAGAGGACACTATGGGGAACTAAGAAAATTCTTTAATGAGTTTAATTGGATAGACTTGTAGCTAGGCAACTAAGTAAATGAGATGAATGCTAAATTTTCCAAAATAAACGATGAAGGCACACAAACATTCATACTAACAAAGATGCAGGACCAGAAAACTGGACTGGTTCAACAGAAATTGTGAGAGAGCCAGAGAGGAAAAGACAAGAAAATGGGTTTAATATCGGAAGTGGCCTAACCCACAAACATACCAGCACTATAAGCAAACAAGAAACAATTATACAGCAGTGAGAAGAGAGGCAGATTGGAACTTTGAGAAAGGTATAGTGGACAAATGTAAAACATATCCAGGCTTTTTCTATAAATACATTAAAAGTGAGCTGCATGCAAAGGATAAAATCCAGAGATTGGGAACAGGGAACAGGACTACTGAGAATAAAAAAAGAAATGTGTGAACAAATATGAATGTGTGGAAAAAAAAATTTAAATGAACAGTTCAAAGTATATTTGAACAAAAATGAGGGTTTCAGAGAGATCATAGAATTAATATATGAATAAAGGTATCTCAAGACAAAGTGGAAAAATTTCTCATGGGGATAGGAAGAAATAAAGCAGTTGGACCTGATGGAGTTTCACCTTGGGTGCTACGAGAATGTGTAGCCGAGCTGAGCATTCCACTCCAATTAATATTCCAGACATCCTTGTGCACAGGAATTTTAGGAAATATATGGAAAATGGCAAACACAGTACTGTACCAATTTATAAAAATAGAAGTCGAGAGGAACCTCTAAATTATAGACCCGTATCATTAACAAGCGTAGTAGTCAAAACACTAGAAAAAATAGTTAAAGCCAAATGGGTTGAACACCTAGACAGTAATGACATAATAATGGACAAACAGTATGTTTTTCGAACAGGAAGATCCTGTGTAACAAATCTACTTAGTTTTATGATAGAGCTACAGAGATACTACAGGAAAGAGGTGGTTGGGCTGACTGTATCTGGACCTAAAATCCAGCATTGAATGAATGAAACACCATTTTGTGGGTGAGACCCGGAGGCTCCCCGGAGCTATTTGAGCTGATATGAATGTATTAGGCCCTCGCATCAGTCAAGCAAATGGAGTTCTAGGCCTACCGGGGACCACGAGCCAGAACCTGGCCCACTCAGAGAGCTATGAGGAACAATGGCCTATAGAAACCCTCGTGTGGTTGGAAGTATTTTAAGTCTGCAATCAACCAGGTCAGGCACCCAGAAATGTATGCACTCCAAAACAAACCCTATCTGGTTAAAATATTGCTACTGAAAGCCGAACTGTTGGATAGAACTAACCCAAACGAAAAACGAGCAATTGAGCATGAATTCACAACCGTCACTGCACCGCTGTCTGCACAGCTCCCCCCTCTCCACAAAAGGGGGAAGGGGGAACCCCAGACCCCAGTGCCACCTATCCACTCTTCAGTTCTGAGGCAGGATGTCCAAAAAAAAACTGTGAAAACTGCTGACTGGAGGGAGGGAGGGAGGGTCGCTGGAAAGCCTCTGGGTCTCACCCAGAAAATGGTGTTTCATTACATTCAACACTGTTTTTCTGGGGGGAGCCCCGTCGGCTCCCGGGATCTTTACCAGGCTGATATGCTAATGTCAGACTTTGGCATCAGTCATGTGTATGGAGTTCTAGGGCCTACCGGGGACCACAGCCAGAACTTGACCCCCTTCAGAGAGGCAAGGGGAGCAATGTATAGAAAACCCCCGTGTGGTTGGAAGCATTCTATGTCTGCCATCAACCGGGTCAAGCATCCAGAAAGGTAAGCATTCCAAAACAAACCCCTATTCTGGTTAAAATTGCTACCAAAAGCCGAACTAGTGGATATAACTCCCCAACAGAAAACAAGCAAACTAGTATGACGTCATACGTCACTGCGCCGCTGTCTGCGCAGCTCCCCCCTCCCCGGGAGGGGGAAGGGGGAGCCCCAGACCTTCCACGCCGGCTATCCACCCATCAGTTCTTCGGCTGATGCTATAGGCACCGGTTGTGTGCTCCGGCTCCAGTAGTTGTTTCAGCACTATACCTAGAGTGTGGTGTCTGTCTTCTAGGTGGTGCATGAGCCGGGAGTGAGTCTCCAGTACTCGGGCTGCATGCGCCGAGGGTTTCCTTTCCTTAGGTGCCCTGTAAGTACTGCCCTTGAGGCTTGGAGCCACCTTCCACAAGTTCCTTGGGTTCTGCCCCTGCTAGGCCGTTTACTGCTTGGTTTTCGGCCGCTCTTTGTGTGCTCAGGTGTTCTCTCTCCCTTGTTCGCTTTAGGGTAAGGGGCAGTTTTGCACTGGTGGGGCGCAGGGTACTGTGCAACTTGTCTCCGCCAATCATGGCGGCCGGCTCTGTTCCGCTTGGGTACGCTGTCCTCTTGCGGGGTTTTCGTTTTCTTTTTCTTTTTTCTATCTGGTGGGGAGTCTGCCTTCGTTCTTCCCCCTTGTGTCCCTTGTGTTCTGAGTATTTTTCTGGTGGTTCCCCGTGAGTGTACACATCCCGGGTGTTCAGCTCTTAGAAAGTTGTTTGGTAGCTTTGGGCGCCGGTTAGCAGTACCCTGCCTGGGATTACCTGAGCGCGAGTCCTCTTATAGTAAACGCTCGGGACCCTGGGAAACCCCTGGGGGCGCGCGGGTCTGATGGATGTGACCCCAGAGTCTCCCATCACTTTCAGCGAGTTTGAGAGTTGCTCTCACCCCTTGTCTCAGGGTGACTCTGTTTTGCCTCCGTCTCCTACCTTTGGGGTCGGTGACACCTTCGACCCGGAGTCCTGCGGGTTTTGTTGCTCGGTTACCCAGTTATGCTGACTAAGCGGGTGCGGGCAGCAGGGGCGTTGCGCTTTGAGGCTTGGTGGTGGCAACGCTCTCGTTTGTTTGCTCCCCGGGAGCCCCGGGGCTGCCCCATTTTTGGTTCGTGTTGGGACTTGGGGGTGCTGGTTGCTTAGGTTCTTCCACGCCCTTTGGTTTTCCCCTGGATCCCCCCCTTCCTGCCTACATCCGGTTCCTTACCATCTGTGGGATCGGGGTGGGGATTGATGGTTTTGAGACTCGGGCAGTCTTGGGGAATTCCCCTTCCGGGGTAGTGACGGGGGCATTTGAGCCTGTTCCTCCAGCTGTGTTGTAAGAGTCTGCCAGTGGGCTCCCTTCCTTAGTATTTTCGCGGCTGCCCCGATTTTCTGGTACGGCCGGGGCTTTGGGGGACGGCTCGGCCCCGAGGCCTGTCGTGTAGGTTCCCGGGGCTGGGGAGGGGCTGACTTGGGGCCCTTGGCCCCGTAGGACCCCGTGGGGGGTTGTTACGACCCTGGGTTCCTTAGTGGAAACCAGAGGTCAAATTGAGCTCGGTATAATTTACTTTACATTATTTAATGCGCTTGCTGATGCGTGGTTGTCCTATCTTCCTTGCCAGACGTAGGACGAATCTTGTTCACACAGAGCATTCAGACTCTTGAGCTTCTTGTGGATTAAGTATAAGTGAAGTAATTATTAACTACCCTTAGAACGAGTAAAGTAAACAATATTGTACTCCGGTGAAGATTTGTAATGTGTATAAGCTGCACGATCAATTAGGCTCTTCCCGGCACCACAACAACTCGGGAGCTCGGCGGCTGGACGTTTTGCTTTCTTCTCTGAACGGCTGTGATTGAGTCAACACCTCTCCTGTGTTGCTCTGTATCTCTCTCCTCTTCCTCCTTCTCTTCCCTTACCTTATCCTGT